GTTTCTACAGAACATTTGGTTATTTTACCATTTAATCAGGAGTGTTGGGCTGGGAAACAAGTAAAACATGCAGGACCCCGCTTACCAGAACTGGACACAGCTGTAGTTTTTTTTTTAGTAAAATTTGGTCCCGTTTAAAGCAAAATGGGATATTTAGGGTAAAATGCTTTGTAAGCACTCATACTAAGCTATAATTGAACAATTGTAAAATCTGATCGCAGTGGTGTGAGTGGATGTCAGAGTAATAAACTCAGGATCAGAAGGGTGAAATAAAACCGATTTATTTGCAAAAGGATACCAGTTAATACACCGAATGAAGCACTGAAACAAGCCACGGTAACATTGCAAAATACCACCTAAAAGGACAGTGTAAATGTCAAAGAGAGGAACAAAAAAAAAAAAAGTCATTCATTCGATCAGAAAGGCAAAACAGGAAGGGAGCATATTTACATCACAATAAAGCATCCCGTGTTTCTACAAAACAAAGCGTGTTAAGAGGCCTTCTCGTTTATTCAAGACATTAAAAATGTTTTTGACAAACAGCTGTTAAAGAAGCCTTAGACATCACATTTTATTTTATTAAGAAGACAGAAATCTTTTTTTTTTTTTTTAAAAGGCACCATTGATGGTGATGAATCACACCGCCCATCTTTAATGGTGGCAGCCGGTATAAGACAACCAACATTCTGTTTAAATGAGATGTAGCTGTAAGAATAAAATCAACTTGATGAAAGGTTTTATAGAACTGATTAGAGAAATGACAGGATGGTGTTTTTTTTTTTTGTTCTGTACAAAATGGTGGCTAAAGTGAGGCATCCCTGCTGCTGATGTGCTGGTGTTACAGCACTCCCTGCAGGAGAGAAGGTGGATTCAACAGCACCAGGTAGTTAGTGATGGTTGGTCCTCAGCTTTAAGAAGCTGACAAAACGTTTCCCTCACAGGCGGATGCTGCACCACTCCTTTCAGCCCGACAATCCATCACAACAATATGAAATTAACTGAGGCTCCTTTCTGAACAAACTGCTGGGTTTACAAAAGCCATACACCCACAGAAAAGAAAAACAGTCAACCATTCTTGAATCCAAATGCATAGCTCTTAATTCAAAATGTTGCAGCATTTTGATTTGTCAGAAACAAGTTGGGAAAGTTGTCGATTTGATGGTGAGATATCTGTTGTTGTGATGTGTTTTGTGGATCCCTGCTTTGTGCTTCAGAATCACCCCAATTCAGAGACTTCTCAGGCTCGATTCCCTGCAGAAAAATCTGAGAAAGCTCCCCTCAGTAGATCTTAGTCACACGATGCAAGTCGTGACGACAGGAAAAACAAAAACAAAACACACGGCGATACAAAATTTGCACACGTAGGCTTTAAAAATGTGATCAGGAGAAGGAAAAAAATCCTACACAAGCACCTTCATTATAAATTAATATTATTTATAAAATTTTTAAATGCACACAGATTTAGACAAACACCTTTTTGTCAGTCTACAGTATCGCTGAGCTATGCAGAGCCATGCAGAAGAAATCCCTCGTCTGTTCAGAGCCGTAAAACAAGATGATTCTTTGTGGGTTAAATAGAATTCACCGTTACGACTTCTCTTCTAATGGGGAAAATGTCTTCAAGGAACAAAACGAGTCGTCCAGTTATCTTATGGTTAATGAATCTATACCAATGTATTTCAATAAAAGTGAGTAAATCTCTTTGAAGGTGGAATTAAAGGAATCTCCGACTAGTTAGACCAACAGACCTTATTTGATAAACATTTCAACTATAAAAATGACAGAGAAATACTACAGGCTGTATAGATTTTACAATTTAAAAACATAATTGGCACACGGAAGTTGCCATTTTATTTACGCTGCAACGCATTCTGGGTAAATTACACTGCCTGGCCAAAAAAAAAAAGTCACCACCTGGATTTAACTAAGCAAATAGGTACGAGCCTCCTATTGGATAATTACTGCATGGGCGATTATCTTTCAGCTGCAACAAGTTATTTAACCCCAGCTGGTGCAATGAGTTGCTTCTTATTTCTTAAACAACCATGTTGAAAGACACATCACGTGGTCGTGGAAAAGATGTCAGTCTGTTTGAGAAGAGTCAAATCATTGGCATCAAGCAGAGTTTACAGAAACGACTAAAATTGGGTTAAGAACTGTCCAACGCATTATTAAAAACTGGAAGGATAGTGAGGACCCATCGTCTTCACGGTAGAAATGTGGCTGGAAAAAAATCCTGCATGATCGTGATCGGCGATCACTTAAATATTTGGTAAAATCAAATTGAAGAAGAACAACAGTAGCACTCAGGGCTATGGTTAATAGTGAAAGTAAGAACATTTCCACACGCACAATGTGAAGGCAACTCAAGGGATTGGGAGTGAACGGCTGTGTAGCCTTAAGAAAACCACTAATCAGAGAGGCTAACTGGAGAAAAAAGGCTTCAATTTGCTAGAGAGCATAAAGATTGGACTCTGGAGCAATGGAAGAAGGTCATGTGGTCTGATGAGTCCACATTTACCCTGTAGCAGAGTGATAGGAGCATCAGGATAAGAAGAGAGGCAGGTGAAGTGATGCACCCATCATGCCTAGTGTCTAGTCATCAATGTAAGATCTTGGTGAAAAATGAATGCAACACTGGGTGGAAATAGATCTTGTGACATTGCAGAAGTTTATCGAAACAACGTCACAGTGAGTGTGAGCTTGAATGTTAATTATGGATGTTATCTGACGTTCAGCCCTTTAATTTGAACCAGAGTGTGTTGACAGAGAATGGAGAATTCACTCTCATGTTGGCTCCTGAGCTAATATAAATATATTCCGTAATCTCCAGAGCTATATCATTTGCCCCAGAGCTAATAGTATTTGATCCAGAGCTAATATACAATGTTAGCTTCAGCTACTATATATTTATAGCGTTAGCTCTAGAGCTAATGTTTGATCCAGAGCTTATAGATATATATGACGTTAGCTTCAGACTTAATGCTGTTAGCTTCAGAGCATATTTTCATAGCGTTAGCTCCAGAGCTAATAGTATTTGATCCAGGGCTAATATGACATTAGCTTCAGACCTAATACCGTTAGCTCTAGAGCTAATTTATATTTTATATTTGCTTCAGAGCAAATATATTTATAGCGTTAGCTCCAGAGCTAATAGCGTTTGCTTCAGAGCTAATAAATTAAACATCATAAGTCGATCACCTTTGATCGTTTTGACCCATATATCGTGCATTAGGACTAACAAAATATAACTTTATTGTCACGTTGTAACGTTAGTCTTCACTACAACCGATGTACGTCATTGACTTAGAATGCATTCCACCGGTAAAATAATGGTGACATCCTTAGGTGAAAAATGTAATAAACGTATATAATTTTTAAAGTACCGCAATTAGGAGTTTTCACGTCACAAAACAACTTTTAGTAGAATAGAGAACTAACATATTAAAGCCAATATGTGCAAGTAGCCGGAGATTCCTTTAAATGCCCTGTGTGCTTTCTTCGGAATATTCCTCAACTCAAGATTATAAACTTCTCCCGTTTCTGTGATTCTTGGTCAAAAAACGGACTTTGGCTTTGAGATTTCTCACCACAGCTTTGACCTTTTTCTCTGCAGTTTCAAGATGGCTCACCATGACTTTGACCTTCTCACCATGGCTTCAAGACTTCTCATTACAGCTTTGGCCCTTCTCACCATAGCCTCAAGACTTCTTACCACAACTTTGAACCTTCTCACCGCAGCTTTGACCATTCTCACTATGGTTTTGAAACTTCTCACCGCAGCGTTGGCCCTTCTCACCACAGTTTTGCAACAACTCACTAAGGCTTTGACTCTTCTCACCTCAAGTTGCAGTCATATGCTTAATAATCTGAAAAAATGGAAGGACGATGAACTGGTAATGAACAACAGCTTCAAGACTTCTCGCTACAGCTTTGCGACTTCTCACCTCAAGGTGCAGTCATTTCCTTATTATTAGGAACATATGGGAGGAAACTGGCCAAACTGGGAGTTGTTTGAACTCAATAAAACTTCATGTTTGTTGATTCTTTACAAAGGGTCCATTGGCTTTTCCTTTGGTTGTTTTTATTTACCTCTAGATCCTTGAATTCCACTTTTTTTTTTAATGACAAACGTTTTATGACAAGTCATCAACATCATGCACTGCAGTTTGTGAAAACACACCAAGAGAGTATGAACCATGTCTACGTAGAGGGTCAAAACATAAGAAAATGTCCCCAGAAAGACGTGTAGTGTGCTTTGCTTTTACATAATTTCCTTCAACCTGATTGGTCAATTTGAACTGTGCTTATTTCCAATATGTGGATTTAAAACCATCCATGGTTATAAAAGTCAATATGGATGATGTTATGAACAACTGCATCCTACACACTTTTACTGGCAGAACTGGCTTTGGACTTTTATTTTATTTTGACCATACCCTGTACCATATGGAGTAAATGTTAGGCATTATAGAGATTGTGGAAGTACAGCAATGGACACTGGACAGAGAGGGTTGTGGTAGATGGCTATACATAGTATTTACAGTGGGTTAAAAAGACTCAAAGACTTCCCCTGACAACAAACCATTACCTTTCACATCTTTGACAGGCGAAAAGACAGAAGGACATGGAGGAACATCACAAATATGATAAGTGATAGAAAAATCGTCTAAAACAGCTCAAAAATATCCATTTGCTGCTTGAAATTTGTGAAAAATTAAAGTCAAGAGTGCAAAACTTTTCTAAAAAAGGGGGATTTATTTTTTTTAACACCATATTTTCGATGAGTGGCCATCCTCCTGCATATAAACGTGAATAGTATTGAGTGGACTGTTAAAGATGTGATCAAAACAGAATTTTAAAAAAGCTGTTATTCTCAAGCAGCAAATGGTGGCCCAAGCTTTACAAACATAGAGACACAAAGAGTGGTTCGTTCTCCTCGACAGCTGGCACTGAGAGTGACGATGGAAAGCAGCGAAGGTAAAAAAAAAACTTCTGGTCGTAAAGGAGGCTGGCTGCAGTAGTCTACATCGATTCACCGAGAGAATCTTCATCCTCCAGGGATAAGGGCAGGTCAAGATCCTGAAAAACAAAAGTTATTGATAAATTTACCAGCAGGAGGAGATCATTAAAGGTTGGATTAACCCTGGAAGTCCCTTTAACTTTATGTCAGCTGGTGTTCCTTAGGGGCAAATTGGACCACTTTATTTAATTTCTTAAAAATGCCCTTTGTTAATATTTTTTCCACCAAAAAAAAAGGTCAATCTTTTACAGCTATCTCAGCCTAAAATAAAAAAATATGAAATTTAAGCATTATTTATTAACTTTTTTTTTATCTCCACTTTTCAATATTTTAATAATCAACAAAATATATTTTAAGGCAATATTTGTAGGGGAGGGGGAAAAAAAGGATTTTCCCATATTAGTACGCCCAAAGTTCCAGTCTGGAGTTTTGTGAAGACCCTCCAGCCCACCTTTCAGATCTGGTCAACAAAAACGAGGCCTTTTCTGGTCAAACTTACGTCAGTGTTTCCCCTAAAGGAGGACGTCTCGCTCTGTCAACAGAACCAAGCGCCCTGCCTACCGAACCCCCCACTCCCCTTTGACAACTGCCGGCACTGACGTAGCGCTAAGCTAGCGGCGCGCAATACAGACGCGCTAGCTTAAAGCTACAGAGTTAGCACCCTTCTCCCCGGTCGACAACTGTCTGCACAAACAACGCACAACACAGACGTCCACACTGCCCCCCCCCAACCCCCCCATTCGACAAAAATCTAATATCACAAAAGAGATGAGCGCCCTGCCAAGGCAAGGAACTGGGGAAACACTGTACATTGATCGCTCTGTGGGAAAACATGGAGGAGTTTTGTTTTAAATTATTATTATCATTTTATTTTTTTACTTTACCTGTGGTAGAATTTCTGATTTCTTTTATGCTTTTACTGACCCAGATGTACTAGCGAGCTGAAGGGGCACAGTGCACCCCCTAATGATGTCTAGCAATGGGGAAGTTAACGGGGGTAAGCTGGTCTGAGCCGTGGAATATCAGATTCTGCAGCCTGCATGCATGTGAAACAGCTTTTTAAAAAAATAATAAACATTTCTTGTGCAACTTAAAAGTGTGTTTTTGCTCTTTACATCCAAACTTCAACTATTTTGTTGGACAAGACGAGAGACGAAACTCGTATAACTTGTATGTTATATTTGAAAAAAATCTGACAAAATAGAAGTAGAAGGATTTTTAGGCTTTGTCAAAAAAATAAAAAGTTTATTGACCACACACACACAAAATAAATGCGTGGCTGATTTTTCCCCATAAGGTCTTCCAAGGATTAACGATAAGAATGGAGCAGTACCTTCGGTTTGTTGATGAGCCCTGGACTGGTGGGGCTGGAGGTGGGGGAATGTTTCATCGGGGTGGAGATCTGGCTGCTGGAGCCGGTCCCGTTGGCTAAGAGGACAAAAAGAAGGAGCGTTTAGGGAGGGAAAGAAGTGAAGAGGACAATAAAACTGTGTTGCTCAGTTTGAAAAGTCAGTCCTGAGCGGCCGCCTCACTTGGCTGCAGCGTAAAGACTCGTCACGAGGACGACGAGTCTTCGGCTTTTTTCTTTCACTCGCTCTGCGTCCTGCCTGGTTGCTAAGGGTTCCCTCTCTGTGAGGAACATTGTGTTTGTGTTGAAGAGCAACATGAGGTGATGTAGCTGTGCTCGTCGAGTGGTTTAAAGCCGTTTTGTTTATTAGAGATAAACAAAAAGGAACTCTGAAGACTGTAAACCAGGTGGCTGGCATTAAGCTCAAGACAAACGAGTGTTAAATAAAGCTTCACGGTTACCCTGAAAGAAGCCAAACAGGCCGTTTCAACCCACTAAAACCTTCACTGCTCACCTACAAACTGATAAATCTCAAAGCGTCTGGAATCCTTAAGCTATACGGATTCAACAACAAGTCAAAAACATTGCAGGAGCAAACGCTGAGGAACCAAAGGAACATTTTAAAAGGACAAACCCAAAGAAAAGCACAAAATGTTTTGTCTTTAGATGTGAACATTTGGAAGATTTAACCCCAATAGTTTTATTAAAAAGCTCTGTTTAAATAAGTGAAGGACACTCCAGCCATTTTAGCTTTCAGAGGCTGGTTAAATCCTCTAAATGTCATATTTCTTCAGGTAAATACATTTCTATTTAATAATAATAATAATAACAATAAAAATTTTATTTAAAAAGCGCCTTTCATGACACCCAAGGACACTTTACAGTAAGAAAAAAGATCAACAGGAATAAATTATATAAAGAATATAAAATGCATACAGAATATAAAATACATACAGCAAAGTTAAGGATAAGCGAGTCTAAAGAGATGTGTTTTCAGAGCAGTCTTGAATATAGAAAGAGAGGTGGTGTTTCATGAGTCAGGAGGTAGAGAGTTCCAGAGATGAGGGGCAGAGCAGGTGAAGGCCCTGCTCCCCATGGTGGAGAGGCGGGCAGAGGGTACATGGAGGTGTAGTGAAGAGGAGGATCTGAGAGAGCGAGAGGGGATGGAGATGTGTAGGAGGTCAGATAGGTACGGAGGGGCAAGGTTGTGGATAGCTTTGAAAGTGAGAAGAAGAATTTTGAAGACGATGTGTGATTTAACCGGGAGCCAGTGGAGCTGCTGCAGGACTGGAGCGATGTGGTTATAGGAGGAGGTTTGAGTGATGACACGGGCAGCTGAGTTCTGGACCAATTGCAGCTTCTGGAGAGATTTGTTGGGGAGGCCATAAAGAAGGGAGTTGCAGTAGTCAATCCGAGAAGTCACAAGACTGTGAACAAGGATGGCTGTGGAGCGGGGTGTGAGAGAAGGGCGGAGACGGTTAATATTTCAGAGATGGAAATAGGCAGACTGAGTGACGTTGTTGATGTGTGAAGTGAAGGAGAGAGTGGTGTCGAGGATGACACCAAGACTCTTGACCTGAGGCGAGGGGGATAGCAGGGAGTTGTTAAGGGGGATGAGAAGATTTTCTGATTTTGAAAGAGAGTTTTTGGTACCGACAAGAATGATTTCTGTTTTGTTACTGTTTAGTTGTAGGAAATTGTTAGAAAAACAGTGATTTAGCTCATTGAGACAGTCGGTGAGGATGGAGGGTGGGTGGGTGGAGTTTGGTTTTGTTGACAAGTAGAGCTGTGTGTCATCAGCATAACAGTGAAAATGGACACCAAATTTACGGAAGATGTGACCTAGAGGAAGGAGGTAAATGATGAAGAGGAGGGGGCCCGAGGACAGAGCCTTGGGGGACACTTGTGGAGACGGGGGAAGACTGGGAACGAAAGGATTTGAGCTGAATGAATTGAGTGCTGTCAGAGAGGTAAGATTTGAACCAGTTTAACGGAGTACCTGAGATGCCAATGGAGGTTAGTCTGTTGAGGAGGATAAAGTAAAATGAGTAAAAGCACTACTTAGATATTGTTTGTGAAGACCATTTTTGCAGATTCATGCTGTGTGTTTGGACAGATAAATACATGTACTTGTCAGACAAAAACGTATAAATGTATTTATCTTAATTATGGTTTAATCCTCAATTTGTTCAACAGAAAAGTCAAGTAAACTGATAAAATCAAGAGGATGTTGTTTTCGAGCAGAAAGTTGGTACCAGCAGTTCTTCCTCCTATCTCATCCATGTATGGTGTTCCTATAGAGTTTGTGGATACAAATACGTGGGAATTTTAATAGATGCACATCTCTCTTTTTTAAGCCACATATTGAAAACCTGTTAAAGAAACTGAAGTTGAAACTGGGTTTCTTTTTCAGAATCCGATCTTGTTTAACTCTGAATACCAGCAAACACCTTCTAGTTGCTACTTTCTTACCAGTCATTGATTATGGTGACATTTGCATGAATGCCCCTGCCAGCTGCTAGCAGATGTTGGATGCTGTCTACCATGGTGAGCTAAGATTCATAACTGGTTGTAACTACTGTACCCATCACTGCCCCCTGTACTCCTTGGTCAGTTGGTCATCATTATCTACACGTAGGCTCTCACACCGGTTCATTTTCATCTATAAATCACTCCTTGGTCTGCTGCCTTCTTTTATACCAGTATCCTCCCACTTGTCACGTCGTCAGTGCAGTTACAGCGTGCGCTCTCAGACCATCATTACCTGCAGCGTTCCGTCAGTGTGGACTGAACTAGAAAAAAGGCCTTTTCCTACTCAGCTCCTGTAACCAGGAACACCTTGTAACTGGAACTGAAGTTGTCCACCTTAATTTCTTTAGGAGATTTTAAACATTTGATGAGGTCAATAGAAAAATCGGAGCAAATATGTTCCTGTTTTTAGTATTTTACCTTGTTTTGTATGACACTTTGATTTGACTGTACTACACTTTCATTTTATTTTTAAATGCTTTTTGTTGAATTATTGTTGTCTACGTTATGTGTTGTCTGTCTAAGACACGTCTCTCCTGAAAATGAGTCGTGACTCAATGAGACTATCTGTATAAATAAAGGTTAAATAATTTTTTTAAAAATAAACGTCCCTTCTCCGCATTATAACCCCTCACCTCCCTCCTGACCCGCAGGGTTCTGCTGAGCTGCTTAAAGCCCAAATGGTGTCCCCCCTCTTCATGTTGGCTGACCATCTGCTGCCTTCAAAACCAGGCGTACCACCATTCAGAGATAAAAAAAAAAATATTTAAGACTGCAGCAGACCCCCAAACTGGTCGTTACGAACACCTGTTGTAGACACTCAGCTTAGAGAGAAAGACTTAAATTCTAAACTTTTTATTTTTTTTTACCAAACTGAATTTAATTTATGTTTATTGTGAACTCAGTCCTGTTATGTCTAGTGTCCTGGTCTAACATCCTTTTTTGGTGAATATCTGTGCATTTTTTTTTAGCTAAATAAAATCATTATAACATGTAGATACGGAACTGTTTGTATTATAAATGCTGACAAAAAATAAAGCATTATCCAGCAGCTGAGTCCCAGTGGCTCCACGGCCTGGTGGTTTTTATTAAATGTTAAACAGATAAATAGCTGAGAGCTGTTCCTGGGCTCTTTGTTTACTTTTCATGATTTATTCATGCGTTGGGAAGAGCAGCTTTAGCATCAATATACTGAACCTATATTTTGTTGCTTATAAACAAAACCTGAATTTCACCCTGAGCTGACTGTGCATCAAATATGTCGGATATGAAAAATAAACTTCAAAACATGTCAAAAAGGAATGATTTCTCTTCGGATGTAGATCTTGCATCTATTATTGATCCATTAGCATCCTCCACAATAAAGGTCAAAGGTGAGTTGCATCTCAGTCATATTTAATGCAGTTTTTTTGTTCATGTACAGCTCTGTAGGTGGTCTGGTTTCTAAAGTATCTCCCACTACAAGCACATATTGGCCTTAAAATGTTATTTCTCTTTTCACGTGTCACAAAGATCAAGTTTTAGTAGAAAACTCCTAACTACTTAAAAATGTGTTTGTTACATTTTTCACTTAAGGATTATTTTACAGACATAATGCATTCTGGGTCAGTGACGTACTTCGGTTGTAGTGGAGACTAAAACACAAGGAGTCAAGGCAAAAAAGTTATAACGTGGCAATAAAGTCATATTTTTGTATAAGTCTTTATGCACAATATATGTATCGAAATGATCAAATTTGATCAAATTGTGATGTTTAATTTATTAACTCTGGAGCTAATGCCATATATATATATATATATAAACTCTGTATTGAACGCTATTAGCTCTGGAGATAATGCCATATCAGGGCTTAATGTGAGACAGATCCTGCCTGAACAGGATCCGGGAACGCTCTTATTTTGACAGGGCGTTTTCCGGTAAGCGTTTGCTTGGATCCAGTAACTCTCAGGCTTATTAATAATAAAGTTATGAACAAATATGACTGCCTTGAACGAATAATACTTATATTGGATATGTAAACTGAAAACAAGTGCATAAACACTCATTTTAAACACAACAACCGAGCTTCTTAATATCACATACAAGCTGCCTCTTCAAGTAGCATTTCTGCCTCTACTCTTAAAAATATCTTCACCCCTAAAAGAGTGGTGGGGGTGAGTGCCGAACAAGCTAACCAGGCAGTAATACACAGGCAGGAGCCCACATGCAGCCAACATGAACAGATGGAGAAGGCGCCTGGAGGTTTCACATGTGGATTCGGACATTGAATTCAGAGGAGAAGAGTCAGCTCGGAACCGTCAGTAAAGTGTGGGGGTCGGGGTGGGGTAGGATGCTTGACAGAAGCGGAGTGCTTACAAATGTAGGTAAACGCAGCTGTTTAACAACACGTTAAATTATATCAAAATGCAGGAAATCACATCTAGTTTACTCTAAATTTTCTGGGGGAGGAACCCCACCCCCACAAGCTGGCCTGCCCACTATTTGCTTTCCAGCATCGATTGGTTTACAAATTAAGCCCTGTGTCATATATATTAGCTCTAGAGCCAAAATCAGTTATATTAGCTCTGGAGCTAACATCAGAAATTAGCTCTGGAGCTATCAGATATATTAGCTCTAGAGCAGGGATGCCCAATGTGGGGCCCGCGGGCCAAAGTTGGCCCGCCAAGCTGTCCTCGTTGCTATATTATGAATAAATGTTGAATAAATGACAACAGTCTCAAACGGGACAGTAAAATCTATCATTTTTTTGCACAAGTCACACCACTTGTCAATCAATCCAGTAGGCACGTCAGCAACTGACTAGTGAGCAACCTCAGTTTGTCCTGAAGTGAACGTCCCTTACCTGTAGAGCTGCAGCGGTGTTGCACTAAGAATGCTTTGCAGTCAGAGATTTCAATAATAACAGAGTTTACATGTTTTGTTTCATGTTAATCTAGTGTAATAAACCTTTGTAAAATACACCAAAATGCAGGAAATGGCATCTACTTTAATCAAAATTCTCTGGGTGAGGACCCCCAGACCCCACCACCACCACCAACGTAGCCTGTTCTTTTGTTGTGATTTGGCGCTATATAAATAAACTGAATTGAATTGAATTATACAGAATGGAAGGATAAATAACTGTATAACAAATAAATGGACTATACTTAAAGAAGTATTTGCATTTCATACATTATATTATTGCATTTGGCCCGCAGCCCTCTGATAGATTTTAAATTTGGCACTCACAGAGAAAAAGTTTGGGCATCCCTGCTCTGGAGCTAAAGTCAGTTATATTAAGTTTAGAGCTAAAGTCAGTTATATTAAGTTTAGAGCTAAAGTCAGTTATATTAGCTCTGGAGCTAAAGTCAGAAATTAGCTCTGGAGCGTATACATTAGCTCCAAAGCTAATTTCGGATATACTAGCTCCGGAACTAACGCCATATATTATTTCCGAGGCTAAAGTAATATATATTAGTTCTGGAGTTAACGTTAACGGCACAATAATGACCAAAATTTACATTCAAGCTGAATGGAGCTCACATCGAAACAACCTGTCTACTTCATTTACCCAGAATGCACTGCAACATAAATAAAATGGTGATGTCCATGTGTCATTAATTTAAAAAATAAAAAACTCAACAGCCTGCAGAATGTTTACTGTCTTGTTCTTAAAGCTGAAGTGATGGGTCTATTGTTCCAACTAGTCGGAGATCCTTTTAACCAGGTGTGGTCGGAGTCAATCAGCTGAACAGGAAGGCTTGCAGTGTGGAGGACATTCTAGTTACTCACTCGACTCAGGAGACTTGCTGCGCCTGATCGGACCGGGACTCTTTGCCAAACCGCACTGGGCTTTAGAACCCTTCATCAGCCTGCATTCTGTGGGACAGAAGCAGAGAGGAAGTAGACCATCACAACTCGTTTCTAGCGAGACAGACACACACAGCGGGCTGCGTTTCATTGTGTAGCCCAGATCAAAACGTCTGATCAAACAGCAGACTGTGTTTTTTTTTTTGTTGTCATTCTGGGTCAGTGTATTAATGAGAGTAGACAGACTCCAGACACCGCCGCTCCTCCCTTCTCCCTCCTGTTTCTACTCTCTTTCCTTCCCCTCCTCTCTCCCACCCTTTGATGCTAATTATACTATCTGTCGTCCCTCCGTCTCCTGGGATCGCACCATACCCATCTTCTGTCTCTCTTAACCTTCACACACTGCTGCACACAGACGCAAATTCATGTGCTATTGTTTTCCAAGTGTGCCAACTCTGGACCTTTGACAGTGCAGACTGACAGGCTGTTTGGTCTGCTCAGAGATTGTCAGTCAGGATCCTGCATGTTGCACACGAGCTCTTCCCCCCAACCCATAGTTTAGTATTTAACGTAAAAAGGGACAGACATCAGTTTGGGAGAAAAATGCACGGAACAAAGGAAAATATCTTTATTATGCATCTGATTTCTAGGTTTTTACAGAGGAATGTCAAGCTTTTTCCTGTATCTTTGTGGGGAGGGTTGGGCGCTTGTTTTCCCCTCCAGATTGATAAGCTGTAGGTACACAGCTGACCTAATATTATGTCCATGGAATGCATTTCCCTCCCCAGCTCCACCGAGGCTGACTGATGCTCGGGACTCATTTCATCTGGAGCTGGCCCGCGGTTAGAGACAAAATGAAACAATTTAGCTCGGGTCCACAGGGGAGTGTGCAGAACGGGAAAGGACACGATCATTATGAAGTCAGGAGAAGCTCCGTGGAAAGAGAAAGGACGGAGGAAGCATCCTGTTAGATTAAAACGCTGCATGTTTGGAGGAGAGGACGTTATATGGGGCTGGACTGATAAAAATAAGATTTTCATGTCTGCAGTGAGCAGAGATCCTGATTTTTTTTTTTTTTTTTACATTTTCTCTCCTTGATTTCTCCGCAGTATCAGCACCAGCAGATCAGCTGGCCTAAACCTGTCACCGGACAGATTAATGGCTCTTCAGCCTCAGCCTTTTTCTGTCCCTGCTGCCAGCTGCTGATAACAGACCACTTTAACTCCGTCTCTCGCAGCCTCTTTGCCAGCGTCCTGCATGCAGAGCTCATTTTTCCTTTTCACCTGACATTGTGAGATAATGTGAGAAAAGCAGTGTTTTTTTTAAACATTCTGATGGTTTACTTTTTTTTTTTTTTGGCTAACACCAGCTCTAGGAGCTGCACAGTAATTGTTAGGACACCAAGTTAACTTGTTAAATCATGAACATGAAACATTGAACGTTACATTAACACACCGTTCTCGTCCAGTGAGAAGTCATCCTGAGCGTAGCGGAATTTCTCCGGTCCGCACGCAATGAAGACGTCATCATCGCCAAAAAAATCTTGAAGGCAGGTAACCTTTGGAGGAAGAGCACAGAATGTTAAAGGGTTCAAGACTCTGGACTCAGCACGTTCAATGATACAAACATCGATGTCCCCCGTCGCTGAGAGGTTTGAATTGTGAATGTTTGTAGCTTTGGACAACCAGGCACAATGGCGGAGCCAGTGGGTGACCATTGGTGGCCATGGCCATCATAGCTTGATCTTCGGCCACCTCACAAACCACCCCAATCGTTTGAAAAAAACTATACTTTTCAGCAACAACCCCATGATTATAACAGTAATACTACTATCTGCAACATTTAACACACACCAGCTTATATGTCAGCTTTTATTTGGCATCTGCTGTAAGACAACTGCTGAGAATAGTAACATTTGATACAAATTGATGTGAAAATGTATTTTTCAGTAGCAAGCCAAGTGAGCTGAGGACGCTTGAAGTGTTGCTTTTCATTAAATTACTATACGGTGTGATTAAAAATAAACTCTTTTGCAGGAAGTCTTGTTCATAACAAAGCGTTTAGCAGTTTCAACCATATAAACGTTATTACTTTACCATTTCTATACACTTTATCAATACCACTGTATGACAATCAATAACACCGTATTATTCAACCCATTGTGCTCACCATTTAACATTATTAATTTATACCTCTCATTAAAGCCTTTAACAATTTTCACCTCCTTTTCTTATTTTTATTACCAGATACTAACACTATATATCAAAAATATATTAGCATCCCCATATTAATGTGTGATATATTGATACTATAGTGGCGCGCATTCACACTAAAAGTTAATCAGACTGTTTATATTAATAGACCAAATTGAAGCCAGCAGGACCCGGTTTACGTGAGCTGCCATTTTGTATTTTTGGCAGGGGTGGAGAAAGCACGCAAACACTGCACTTAAGTAAAAGTACAAATAAACAGACAAAAATGTACTCTAGTAAAAGTAGAAGTACCACATTAACATTTTTACTTAAGTAAAAGTAAATAAGTACTTACTTTTAAAAATGCTTAAAGTATTAAAAGTATTTGCTGAATGTACTACCTAATGCAATGGTCTACAGTATCATTAAGCGTGTCCAACGTATGTATATTTTCTGTAATACATTAATAGTATTGTGTCATTTTAATGAACAATGCTGCAGATAATACATGTTTTTATTGTGTTTACTCTGTGACACAGTTCACACTTGGACTTGTGATTCTCTGCATCAGAATTTCAGGGATGAGTTAAATGTCATTAAGCAAAGAATGACCATACCTTTGATTTTGCTTTGTGTTAAATAAAAATTTTCAACGTGTTATTTTAACTGCAGTAAACACATTTAAGTAAAAGTTGTCTGCCTGAAAAAATTAGCATTAGACCTAACAAAGGAACAGACACTGATCAGTACAACTCCAGTTTGTCATCAACTCTAGTTAAAATACTGTCTAGTTAACCTTGTAATGGGTCAATATTGAACAATATTTTAACTTTCTGACACCATTTTTAAAACTTGGACCTGAGTGTCGAGACATTTGGAGACATCTCTTGTCTCCTAACATCCCATGAACTGACACATTTTAATATTGCAGCAAGATTTTCTTGTTCAACTTCAGAAGAAGTTGGTTTTCAAAGTTTTTTTGTCCAGTCTGGCTCTTTTGGGAGAAAATCTGTCCTGCTGTACTGAACTGTCTTTCAATTATTTTTCAATAGTCTTTCAATAAGGCCATGGGTGGCACATATCTTCTGGTTGACTCTCTGAGGTGGAATCCATTTTGGATGTGTTAGAGGTGCTGTGGGTGCTCCCAGTTCAGTGACGTGTATATACTAGAATATAAGTCATTGGTCCAGCTCTTTTAGAAGGCGGGTTTAACGTTACCTGCCCACTTTGCAGTGATTCAATGGACCAACTCCCCTCTCACCATTGGTTGCTTTCAAATTAACGAACAAATAAAAAAAAACGCAACGTGAATGTAACTTGTAACGACACGCATTATAGAAATGTAGTGTAGTAGAAAGTACAGATACTTAATGTAAAATGTAGTGGAGTAAAAGTTGAAGGTATCCACATTTAACTCTACTCAGTACAGATGCATAAAAAATGTACTTAAGTATAGTAACAAAATACTTGTACCCACCACTGATTTTTGGAACCAGAGTCTGTGCAGTGGGAATGTGGAACTTTAAGCCCCGCCTCCTCTCCCACTCATAATCAGGGTGTCACACAAGAAATAACTAATTACAGGTAAACATGTTAGAAAAATGAATATTTCAGCAGCAGCAGGGTAAGTCCTACATGAATTAACACCTGAAAGAAAATACAGAATCTGTGGTTTGAATTTTTATTTTCTTTTATCAGGAGCAATGTCCTGCTGATTTACTTAAAGGATGACTTAAAATGTGTATGCATACCCATAAATGATGGTAGGAGCTAAAATGCTGAGTGATGACCATCAACTGGCAGCTTGCCTCTTCTGAAACATAAGGTGTTCAGATTTATTGGAGCTGCTGTTCTGCAAAGCAGCTCCACATTTTTTGGCTCTTGTAGTTTGATTCTTTCTCCACAGTCCAGACCCTCCTGTGGAGGAATCCATGATCTAAAACTCGCAGACTTCACTTTCAGGCAGGTTGTTGTACTTTACTTCCAACATGTCTTTACCTACTTCTCATGTAAACAAACACAAAAGCCCAAACGAAGCAGATAATGCTGCACCTTTACTGTAGCGTTTAAATGACTTAACTTCCTTCCCCTGGATCCATTCACTCAGCAGCTGTCCAACCAATACGGCCTACTAAGTGGACAGATGTCTTCGGGACACACCTCCTCCACCAGTCTCCATTATAAAACCCGACACGCCCGTTTAGAGCCGTTCGGTGTGAAAGCCGCTTCCATCCCAAGTCAGATTTCCTGTTTGCCTTTTCAAACCTGCTGGAATTCTGTCTTCTTGTATCACCGAGTTATAAACTCACATGTATTGCTTTACTAATGTAACCGAACCGCTGTGCTGGACTCTGGAGGGTTCACGGCCTGCGTTTGGAAGCGGGCCAGACTCGTCAAGATGCATCACGGTCCCCTTTGTGATGCACATCCAAACTATGAGCTGCTGCTGATAATTTGAGAACACTCCACCCCACCAGCTGCCGTGATGAATCCAGATCCTGCTAGACAAGCTAAAAGTGTGTGGTGGTGACTTGCTGGCGTGGCATCCCAACAGCTGTACGCAGACTATACAACCCCGCAAACCCCCCGGATACAGGCTGGTCCGATCTCTGTTGGGGGGCAAACATGTTTTGACTCCAGGGATCAGACGCTACCAAGGCCAGTTCTCAGGCTACACACTTGAGTTACTTTGTGCTTTCATTATTAGATTAGATACATACAACTACCAGGAAAGTCTGGTTTTCATAAGATGGAAACATTAATAGAGCTTCTTCCCCTGCAGAGCTGGAGGAGAGACAGAGAGGAGCTGGGAAGCTGCATGGAGGATAAAACGGCCATGTTTAATAGCATTAGGATCTGATCTGATTAAAAGGATTGAGTGTTTGTCTAACAGACTGCTACCTTAATCTCCATTAGCCAAATCGCTACTCAGAATTAGGATTGTGATCATCTCACACACAAGAGTTTGTCTCATAATCTCTTTAATCTCACGAATAATAAGGAATCCTACAAAAACATCAAAACAAAGAGGGTTTGGGCTTGACTGAGCATCTGCGTTGCTTCAAATCTAAACCTACTACTGTGTATATCTAAAAAAGACAAAAGTATGAATCCACAACTATTTATACAATCTGGAGTTTTGTTGTCCCAAGTTTCATGTCAAACTTAACAAGCGATGCACAGGTGGCCCTGTTGTTGAGGGATTTGAATAGTGAATGTTTGTGGTTTACCACGAGTGTTTTTCTGGACTGGAATGGAACCAGGAATGCAAGTAAACCTTAATGTTTTAAGATATTCTAGAGAATGGGAGTTACACTGTGGAGAAGAACAGAGGAAGGCTTTTTTTGCTTGCTTATCTGAGGCAACGCAGAGCGACAGATCCTGGTGAGAGGAGGGAGCAATTTTATCCACCACCAGGTGCAATGGTGGAGCCAGTGGGTGGAAAAAGGTGGCCTCGGGCCCCATAAAATAATCTTCGGCCACCCCAGTCATTTGAGAAAATTATAGTTTCCTCAAATGACTGGGGTGGGGGGGGGCTGATTTACATATATAAAATATGGTGGTCATCTTGGCAACCTAATGTTTGAAAATACCCCATCTTAGGTTGTTTTCACACCTGATGGTCCGGTAGACTTGGTTCGATTGGGGACCAAAGCTCAGAACATTTGTTTACTTGTCAGCTGGTGCAGTTCAAATTCACATTGCACTGAGTCAATCGAGCCAACCTGTCCCCCACCCCCGTGGTGGTGCTGCACCAAGAAGTACTGAAGGAAACGACACGAAAATCTCTGAAGAAGACATTTGTGGCGTCAAATTTTAGTGGTTTTAGGATTTCCATTTTGTCTGTGGCTCATGTGCCAAACAAACATTTTTCAACAATGGACTCAGCATGAGCGGAAGATGAGGCAGAATACCGTGGAAAATGTTGTTTGTCGCACAACGTGGCTGACGGCTTCGTATGAGGTAAGAGAAATGCATGTTTGTTTTGGTTGTATTTACCCATAATGCCCTGCGCTGTAGTCCACTTCCTGCATTTGGAACGGTCTCCAGTCCGCTTGCATTCACAGTGCATTCGAACCGCATCCCAGTTCAAGTCAACTGAACCGAGACCTAGGTATTGAGGCGGAGCAGAGTTCGCTGTTTTGGTCCTCATCAGAGTTCGATTGCGCATCAACACCTCCCCAAACGAACCGGACTTTCAAGGCAAATGGACTAGAGTTCGATTAAAGCGGACTAAACAGGACTGGTGTGAATGCACCCTAAAGCTTGGATGTAGTTGCACACCAAAATGGAAGTTGATAGCTCACAGGATGGACAGAGGGTATTTCCAAGTCCCCTCTTCACCCCATGACAGGGGTCAAAAAGAAACTCCAAAATGATCCATCTTGTGGTTCGTGAGATATTATGCTAACAGGCAGACAGGGTTGACTGCAGAAATTAATTTGCCAAAGTTCTAAACAAAAAACTTATTTGACGTGTTTGCACTCAGAGTATGTTGGGGCTGTGTTTCTTTTCAGCAGCTTTTAATACATTATGCAGACATTAGAGCTAAGGTACCCACTTGTTCATGTCTTAACAGAAAACTGGCCCTGTCTCTTCATGCCCACCTTTAATCTGTGCCTCACCAGCTGTCAGGGTGATGAAATTTCTACATGCCACACCATCTAGTGATGATGCATGTATGAAGTATCTTGTGCAGATCAGAAGTTATGGACAGGACAAAAGGTTACAGACGGGTGTATAAAAGCCAGTGGGTCACATATTAGAGCAGTCTCCACATAAATTTAAGCACAAACCTAGAAGTTCAAGCCAACGTGCAGTCCAGCAGGACAATAAATGCACCTTTTTGTCCATAAAATGAGAAACCTCAGCCACTGTATTGTATTATTGTATGCTTTCAACCAACTTGTTTCCTACAGACAGCTGGCTCGTACTTTAACACATCCTTTGAAATGTGCACTGAACACAAACTAATGATGAAATTTATGGGCTGAAATCCATTTCATGTTTAAATGGATATTCAAATCAATAAACTTTGCAGAAGTGAAGTGATTCAATGTTGCAAAACCAACATTTGATTGATGTACGTCTCGCTTCACTGAGTCAGCATGCCATTAATCCATTAAATTGATTTATATTTATCTGTTGTGGAGTGATAGAAACCAGACAGTTCTGCTTCTGCTCAACTCTAAATCTAATACTACAGTTAAACACACTGATGTCCCCCGTCACTGAGGGATTTGAATAGTGAATGTTTGTAGTTTTAGAGATGAGTGTTTTTCTGGACTGGAATTGAACAGAGAATAAAGTAAACCTTAATGTTTTTGGTGCAAGATGTTCAAGCAGGTAGGAGTTACACTGTGGAGAAGAACAGAGGGACTTTTTTTTTTTACTTGTCTGAGGCAGCGCAGAGTGATGGATCCTGGTGAGTGGAGGGAGACATTTTTTGTCTACTACCAGGTACAATGTTGGAGCCAGGGCGTGGCCATTGGTGGCCTTGGCCACCATAGATTAATCTTTGGCCACCCCAGTCATTTGAGGAAACTTGTCCTTTTGGTTGCTAGTTTGTTGTGATTGTTTTGATTTGTAAAAAAAAAAAAAGGAGAAACTTACATTTGTATACCTATGCCTATTTTATGACTGTCTATTGTTGTCAATGTTACTCACTGTTGTCATCTTTCTTTGTTAAAATCAGGTCTCTCTTGTAAATGAGTCCCCGAGGCTCAATGGGATTAACCTGTCTAAATAAAGGTTGAATGAATTAATGAATATAAAGTTTATATTGCTTAATAGTATAGTTTCCTCAAATGAATGGGGTGGCTGGTTTACATATATATGATGGTGGCCATCTTGGATTTTGACTTGGCAACCCATGTTTTGATAAAGACCTTTCTTACGCCTATGCAGCCACACACCAAAATGAAAGCTGGTACCTCATTTAAGGCAGAACGGTGGTACACTTACCATACCATACCATACCATATCATACTATTTTATTTATAGAGCACTTAAAACAGCTACAAGGCCAACCAAAGTGCTGTACAGAGAGAACAACAGACAACACACGAAGCAATATACAAAATGAAGTAAATCAAAAATATAGACATAAAATTGATGCAGATAATAAATATGACGAAAAACCAGTGTGGAGCGTACAGGTTCAAAACACAGATCCTCTGGTGTTGAAAGCTACTGAATAGTAGTGAGTTTTTAAACGGGATTTGAAAACCGAGAGGGAGGGGGCCAGTCTGACAAGCAGAGGTAACTCATTCCAAAGTCTTGGTCCTGCTACAGAAAAGGCCCTGTCACCTCCCTTGGTAAAGCTGATGCCCCTCAGCAAGAAGGTCGCCGGATCTAATCCTGGGTGGAGTTTGCATGTTCTTGCCGTGCATGCGTGGGTTTTCTCCAGGAACTCCAGTTTCCTCCCACAGACCAAACATGCATGTTAGATTGATTGGTAACTCTAAATTGTCTCTAGGTGTGAGTGAGAGAGTGAATGGTTTGCTGTCTAGTTTGTCTCTATGTGTCCCTGTGATGGACTGGAGACCTGTCCAGGGTGTCCCCCGTCTCTCGCACAGTGATGGCTGGACTTGGGCACAGTGACCTCTGTGACCCAAAAATGAACATGCGGATAAAGATGATGGATGGATGGATGGAACCTCATTTATTTTGCTGTTATGCTCGCAAAATTCACAAACAGACTGATGGAGGGTACAATATGTCCAATTCTTCCTTTTGGCTCCGTGACAAGGGACAAAAAAATCCTGAAGTCCTACAGTTTATGGAAAATCAGCAGTGTTTTATACTCCTGATAGGTTGCAGATCCGAGTTTCAACTAAAAACGTTGCCTTTTGGAGCCCGAGCTTGGATGAAAGAAACTAGATGGAAAAGGTTGAGCAGGAGGCTGTTAAATGAAGCTTTTTGCAGTCCATTAGGGAAAACACCCACACAGACTCAAATCGATACGAGAGGAATATTTCACCAAATCATGAGCAAAATTTCATTCTGTCCAGTTGTTACAGACATGTATAAATGTGTAAAACAAAAATTCTGCTTTTGTCTTTGTTTGGAGCAACAAGCTCCCTTCAAAGACAGAAAATAAACTGGTAGGAGAGGCAGAATTCATTTCCTTTAAGGAATGCTAGGAATTAAATTAAATTGGAGTATCTGTGACTTTTGTTCGACTCCAAAGGAGATTTCTGCTCCATCAGTCTGACCTCTATTTGACCTCTGGGCAACAGCAGGGCGTTTGTCTTATTGTAAGTGTCTCAGGTGCATTTGGAGCCCAGATGAGGCGATCTGGGCGTAAAATCTGCACAGTCATGGGGGAGCAGCTGGTGCCTGCTTTAACATCCCCCTACCACCAGACTCCCACTCTAAAGAGACAGGCCTTCCATCTGGCTGACTGATGAGGCCTTCATCTTGATAATCTGCACCTCCTCCTCCTCATCCTCCCAGGTTACACTCACTTGTTGACGATCTTCATGCAGGAAGACTGAGCTGATTCAGACAGACTTCCATGTCTGAATCAGACGCTTCATCACTCGGACCACACCCCTCTGAGTCTGATCGTCAGCCTCTTTTTCTGTAGCGTCTGTGTCAGTGTGTGTGTGTGTGTGTGTGAGTAGGCAGTGGGTTCTTGACAGATAAGGGGGCAGGTAAGGCAGAGCAAAAAGCCCACTCAGCGTATTACAGCCATTGTGACAAACTGAATCCATCACAGCGGAGCTTATTGCCATGACAACCTCGTCTGCAGCGCGGTGAGAAGCAGGCAGACTGCAAACCCCCCGATAACAGAGAAAAGCAGCCTTTTCTTGCCTGTTAACACTCATATTTTAGACATACAAAGCCCTGAACGTGTCTCCTTTTCCCTGAATAATTTGCAGCTGCATTAATTCCATGCTGAAGGAAACCATCCACTTTGCTTCCTCTGTGGTTCTGCTCCAAAACTTATTTTTGTAAAGACATTCTTTTCATAGTCGTGTGGCTGCAGATCTATTGAGCAGCTTTGACAATTTTCACAAATGGTATTTGGATTAGCCCTCGATGAGATGAAAACCTCCCGTTTAAGTCCTTTTCAAGAGAACAAGACCTGGATCTTAAATGCAAAGTGCAGATCAGCCTCCATGCAGACACCTCCAGCAAAGACTAATGAATACAAAATGGCTTCCAGCAATTAGGTAAGTAGCCTTTAGAGGCAGAAAGAGCAGATTTGGCACTTTTTTTAAATAGACTCTGGGTACAATTACTCCCCATTGGTGAGAAAAAGAATGAAAAGCCTGACTCTAGTGGCCCCACCCATCCCTGATTAAACTGCAAAGCACCGGCATTCGAGAGGAAAATGGAGACGATTTGGTTCAGAACACCGGCAGAGAAAGGAGGGACGGATAAAAAGAGGAGCAACATACATGATGAGTGGCCATTTCACAAATCCAAAATCCTGCAGAACACACAAGTTAAAAGTCTGAAATGTTCCACCTTCAGTGAGGGAATTTATCCCGGTAACAAACATGACACGGTCTTTTTTTAAACACCAAAGGCTTGCATTGATAGTAAGCTCTCCCACCCACTACAGGATGTGGTTTCTGACGGACCGGTCCACACCAGCTGGGCTCTCTTTGTGCCTGGGATGTGGTCTCCTAGCAACCAGTAGCAGCAGCAGCGATCGCAGCGGAATGGGGAAGAGGAGGACCGGGATTCAGGGCGGGGCGAGCTCTGCATCAATCCCGCTTCTCTTCTGTGCCTCCACCACAGACGGAGGCAGCTGCAGAGCGCCGCTGCAGACAAAAGGCGCTGCCATTAAGAACCTGCAGCAAATTTCTCACATCTCTGCACATTTCTGCACGTCACTATGAGAAATCAACCGGGAGTAATTATGAAAGAATCCATAACGAGCTCGGACGACATCCGGATCGATACTTTCTGACTTCACTGAGTGGAACCACTTCATTAAAAATGCACGGTGTAGAAAGAATTACCACATGACAGTGATTATATTAAGAAAGACTTTTTGTAAAAGCAAAAAAAACCACATATGGTACATTATATGGCTGTCAAGAAACTAATGGCCCAGACATCCAAAGACATTGTATAACTTTTGACCTTCCCATTATAACTGGGTACAGAACGGGTACTGGACATTCAGAGACTATACCATAATACTGCACTCCTGGGAGAAAGCTTTAAAATCAAATTCAACTCCCATATATCACTTTAAAGTACCTCTCATTCTCCCAGACTCATGGGATTATGACTTTCAAATACCAAACTGAGGTCAAATAAAGGTGGCACAACACCTAAAGGATCTGCGTTCATGATAAATCTCACCATAGGAGAAAGATCAACAAAAGTACTTGTTCTGGATCCAACACTGGTCCTGGAACACACATAATCGCATGGGTCACATTTAAAACTGCAGAGACAAAAATATGAATTTGTTATGTGTATGTAGGTGTAAAATATAAATATTTTCTGTCAAAAACCTGCCTACTTCACAGAAATAGAAATAGATTTTGAATCCTTTTATTTTTCACATCCACTGTGTTCAACTCTTCCAGAGGGACTTCGATCCATCCACAGCCTTCCAGCCTGCTGGGTGTTTAGACAACCACCATGAAGTGCAAACATTGATAAAACATGTTTAGCTCAGAAGAGACACTGACAGAGACAATGACAAACTCAAGAGGATGATGTCCAAGCAGAGTTTAAACAGATGGTTGGATTGGTTTTGTACAGTTTGATAAACTTCTCTCATTCCGATGCTTTTTATTATTTTAGTTAAATTTATGGAGTTACCCAAGAGTTGACAGGTCAATAAATACATTGAACTGAAGGAAAAACTTTCTGGGACATTTTGGTTCTTTTCTTTCCCCGCAAATTTGACAAGCAAGGTCGTAATCGAAACAAAAATTTCAGGATGTTGTTGGGAGTTTTTGTTTTTCAATTTTTTTAGGTTTAGATGGAGACAATAACATGTAACCGGTGAAGATTACCAGGCATGCACGATGCAGCTGGATCAACAGAGAAGCTGTGTATCCACTCTAGATGCATCAGTTCATTACGTCTTCATACTAATAAAATCTGATCAGGTTGATTTTTTTTGATGAAGAGTCTGCAAGCAGGTTAAAATCTACAGGCTTCTATAAAGTTATGTTTGTGCACAAAAATGGATCTCTTTTAGAGTACAGCTCTTTTTTGGTGCAGTTACTGTCGCTAAGTAACATTGTTCTTTCATTGTAGAGGCATGCTATTTAAAAGGAGAACAGTTGCAGTGCCAGTATAAACAGGAACAAACACACTGTGCTTCAACAAAGCATCCTCATTTAACTTTTTTTTTTTTTTTTTTTTTGGAAAAATATCTGGTTTAAAAAAGAGCTGCCATGTTAGAGCTGCCAGAGTCTGCTAGGGATGTTCCACCTACTCCCCCAAACAAAGTCAGGGTTATAAGTTGCAAAATATAAAGAAATTACTGGTAAACATATTTGAAAACTGAATATTTAAACATACAATAGCAAAGTATGAACCATTTGAATTGTACGTGTAAATGTCTCATTCATCTATGTTACATTGATGTATTACTTATTCTGCATCCAGCCTACAGGGGGCACTTGTGCTGTTTTGGGTTCAACTTCAATGCCATGTTCCCGTGTCTACATATGTCAATGGTAAATGGACTGTATTTATATAACACCTTTCTTTCTTATCAAGACACTCAAAGTGCTTTACACTGCAATCTGTGTCCTCATTTACCCATTCATACAGCACTCTACTAGATCTGTACAAAGACTAAACAGTGCTTTATCACATTCATACACCCAATACACACAATGGGGCACACATCGGCGGCAATGACGGGTTCACTGTCTTGCCCAAGGACACTTCGGCATGTGACTGCTGGTGGAATCTAACCCCCCAACGCTTGCATTAGAGGACGACTGCTCTAACCACTCATCCACAGCTGCCCATTCATACAAGTTCTCTCCAGTTTTGACTTGTATTGTTGCCAATTCAAAAACGGGATTTTCAGTTTTCTTCAGATAATAGGTGCAGTGGGGATGTTTGGCAAGTAGGTCAAGAATGACCAGTGGGGAGGGGTGGGGGGTTAATAGGTGTGTAACAGTACGACTAAATCATTGTTCTAAAGCCTCTGATCCACAGGTCCTGGTCGGGTCAGGCCAAATTGGGCCTTATTAGGCCGGTACCGGTATGACCGCTTCATTTTCCATATCCACAGTGCCCCTGTATGCTTTCAGTACCGGTTCCAGTGGGCAGGTTCAAATTGAGGTCACACACCTCTCACCAGCTGGTGGCAGAGAGATGCTGAAACAGGTTTCAGTGAGAATTTATTTTGAAGTTTCTGGTAAATTAAAAAAAATACAGATTATTAAAATGATTGAATTAAACAAACACACACACATATATATATTCTTCTAATAAACTTTTAATGAACTTTAGTTCACCATTAACTCTCTGATGA